TGTTTCTCTCAGCGACTGTAGTGATCACGTGCTCCTACATTGGTGTGATGGTGGCAGCGAGGTCAGCGTCCACAGACAAAGCTTCGGTTCGTAAAGCTCGTAACACGCTGCTGCTGCATCTGGTGCAGCTGGGCCTCAGTCTCTTATCTACTATACACAACTCTATCGTCGGAACCATTGCAAGGATTGTGACCAGGTCAATACTTTTGATCATCCTGAATACTTTCTATGTGTTCATCATCATGCTCCCCAGGTGTCTGAGTTCTTTCATCTACGGGCTCAGAGATCAGACCATCAGACCCGTGCTCTTGCACCATCTGTGCTGTCGACTGAAACTCAAACCTGAGGTCTCACCCTGACACACACGTGTTGACTTTACCTCTGTCGGTTTGTTGAACTCGTGCTGTTTGTCATATGCCAACATTTCCAGCATTTGACTTTAATATAAGGTGCAGGCAAAAGTCTGAGTCTCATCAGTGTCTCTTTTTCTTTAGTGAATAGAATCCTGTCAAAATGATGATTGACTGTGTAAAAGATGTTTCACTGATGATCAGGCTCCAGCAATCTGTCATTTAAAGGTGACATTTGGTTCAGGTGGGTTCAGACACGCTGGCCGGGCCACTTGGTTTTCCTGTCTGTATTTGTGGGAAACATCAGAGTCAGATTTCTCTCTGGCTCAGTTGGGTTCGGACAGAAAATTGTCCTGTGATTGAATGAGAATAGGTGGAGGCGTGCACTGAAAAAAGGAAGAGATGAGTTCAGGAGGAAAAAGGGAGGATGAAGGGAGCTGGGATGTGATGAGAGAGGAAGAATAATGGAGAATGGGGGGGTGGTTCAGATATGACCCTGATCCTAAGTGTTTACTTCATTATAAACATTTCAAAAGGATATAATTCAAGTTGCATCATTGTCTCATTATGTCAAACTTCTGCCTTCTTCTGTTCCTCCAGGAAAGTTTGAGTTTTTTTCTGTAAAGAAAAGCTGTGGCATCACAACAACATGAATTAAAATGATTTCATATAAAATTCATTCAGAGCATTTTATTTTGGTCCTCTTAGTGTCACATGTTTCCAGTCCCTTTACTGTAAGTTTGAGTTGCTAAAACTGGATTATTATAAAGTTCACACCCGAGGTGTCTCCCCCTGGAGGGCAGGGACATACTGACCCAAACCCACCCATTCTCTTCTCCGCCACATTTATCTACCAACACTGTGTTTTATCCATAGACTGTATATACAAATGTCTTATCCCTCTACACTCATTCATCTCCACCACTTACAAATGTCAGTGATTTTTTTCTTCCTATTGGTCCAGGTAACATTTTACTCTGAAATCTTGAGGCTGAGTCTTATGTGAATTAGATGCAGCCAAAATAAATAAAACACACTCAGTCCTTAGTGTAATGAATCCAAGCATTAGCTTGTCTCCACCAGCTCACCACCAGATTACACACAGATAAATAGTACATGCCATATTTTTTCATCCAGATCAATGAATTATTCTCAGAGAAATCTGTGAAAATGTTGAACTCCTTATCTCGTATTGTTAAAGAAAGTGAAAAACAATCCTTGATAAATGTAAATGATCTGATCTGGACCTGCATAGTGTTATCTTGGGCCGCGCCCCACCCCTGGCTTCCATGTAATCCTGTTTTGAAACATGTATGCATCATCATCTCTGTAATGAAATACATGGAATGAGAAATATTTAAATGTTCATCGTCCTGTTTTAAATTACGGAGCTTTTGACATTTTGAGAATGAGTTGTCAGAGAAGCAAGAAGGAGACTACTTGTTCATTTTGATGAATATTTGTATATAAAATCTTTTAGTTTAGTATTTTTAACCTTGTTCGTGTTTTGTACTTTTTGATTTTGTTCCAAAACAAATTAAGATATTAATACAATATTAAAATATTATAGAGTTTATAAAATAAAGGAGTGATCAGAGTTGTCAGACGCTGTGAAATCCAGTAGGGGGCAGCAGTGAGTCTCAGTGGACACCAGCGGCCGGAAAACGTAAAAGAAGAAGGGGTGTGACGTCAGACAGTGCGCAGACGGTTTTCCCTCGTCGACGCGAAGCTTCGGATGTTTCCGATGTTCCGTTAAAACGCGTCAGTGTTTGAAGTTTCAGCGCAGAAACAGCGTTAATTTCCCCGTTGGAGGTAAAAGTGAGAGGAAGCGCCTGACGGTGTTCACCTGTCCGGGTCCGGAGCGTCCACAGAGCTGTGCTGGGCAGCTAGCGGCTGAGCTAGGTGGCTAACGTTAGCCTGACAGCGGGTAACTTTGAACAGTGTCGGAGCGGTGAGTGTCCGATAATAGGCTCAGTGTGTATATCCATACATGTTTACTGTGTGTGTGTGTGTATATACATACATGTTTGCTGTGTGTGTGTGTATATACATACATGTTTACTGTGTGTGTGTGTATATACATACATGTTTGCTGTGTGTGAGTCAGGAGAGGTTGTGTTACTGGAGACTCGGGTGTGAGTTGGGTTACGGAGCTCGTGTGTTGTTAGCAGGAGCGGAAATGATCTGCTGCTGTTACGTGTGTTTGGATGGACGGCTCTCTGGTGACGCTGCCCGGTCAGCCACACGTGGAGTCCGCTAACAGTTGTTCACTGCGGTTACTGCTCAGCTCCGAGGAGCCGAACTTCTCCTGGAACCTGAGCCGAGTTATTAACACATTCACTAGTTCACACGTGAGGATTTAGTACTTGACGCAATATTTCCGTGTTACTTCTTCTTCAGTACAAACATTGTACGTGTTGACGTTTGTGAAGCAGCTGACTGAGATTTATTTGATCCAGACAACATAAAACATTGTTCAGAGCTTGAATCTTATCTGATTCCTTAAAGACTCGTTTATTTAAAAGTGAAAGCTGCAGTGAGATGATTGACTTTATCAGATTTTCTCTGTCTCATTATGTTTATAGCGAAACAAAAGTATGGTTTGTACTTCAAGTGACCATCTATCTAGAAAAGGTGTTGACTGGGGGTTCTTTGACGCTTGTTGATTTGAATGAAGGGAGATCCAAAGAGGTCCAGGTAAATTCCAGTGGTTGGTTTATTGATAAATGAATGTGAAGACTTGTAGTTTCGTAAAATAAATAAATCGAGGCAAAAAAGCTTAAAGTGTACAAAGCAGCAGTGAGTTCTATCCTCAGCAAACTAAAGCAAGCACACACTCAAACAGCAAGGTCAAGAAGCTGGTGCCACACCTGCACCAGGTCACTCTCCTGTTTATGGCCTTTGACCTGCAGAGGGCACAAGAGCTCAGGGAAACATAAACAAAGCATTAAGATAACTTATTAAATCAATAGTCAAATGGCTCCTAAAGTACTTCATTGTGTTCTGAAATGTCTTTGTCAGTTTTTTATTTTAAACACTCGCTACATTTTCCTGCTGTTTTCTCACATGGACTAATTTGACAGACTTATTACTAGAAGCAGGAAAAGTTAAATGTCCAGAGACACTGACTCAGACATTTGTTCTCACATACAGAACCTGCAGAACACTTCAGGAACACTTCAGGAACATGTGCAGACGCAATTTAACCCAGAGTTAGTGTCTTAAAAACGTTATATGATTCTGATTCGTTCTATTCAGCGACACAGATTACAGTTGACAGATAAGTCATTTTTTTCACGAGTGATATTATTGCTCAGTATAAACAGGAGG